CAGTTATATCGTTATCGCAAATTTTCAAATATATATCGTGATAAATATTTTTGGCCATATCGCCCTGCTCTATTACTAAGATTGAATTAGAAAAGGTTAAAGGACCCTGAGCTGGAAAAGTTTCCTGTCTAAACACTTTGCAGTGTTTTCCACCTCAGGAACTACCAGGCACTTTTTGATTCGCCATTGTGTGTTCTCACTTTGCAAAAGTTCTGCAGCAGTTCATTCAGGGCTGTTTTCAGGGGAGATAAAAGTGCTTGCTCAGGGGCAGGTACGTCTGAGTGTCCCTTGAAAACGTCTGGATGACTCTCAACACTGATCGGTTAAACTCTGAAGGCATCGGTGGACAAACTTGAACAATCTTGGATGGAAAAACAACTGATTTGTGTACCGTTATGTCCTCCAGGACAGCTACCTGGGTGACGAGTTCAAGTCCCAAATCGACGTGGCTTTGTCCCAGGACTCGACCTACCAGGGTGAACGTGCGTACCAGCATGGCGGCGTGACTGGACTGTCGCAGTACTGAAGTGTAAGTACATGAACTATGTCTTTAGCTGCAGTGTAGTGTCAAAGTATTCAGAGGAAAGCTGATCTCATGACTGATTGCCACAAGCTTCAGGTGTCTCACTGATCTTGGCTAACTTACAATATATTTTAAGTCCAGTTTCACATAAAACTTTGTGAAAGTGCCTGAAACCTCAGGAATCATCCACTGGAAATGTTATATAATAATTGACTTGTGGATGAGCTAAAATCACATCAGGCATATAAAACATGTTATGCAAAAGCTCTAACCAGCTCAACTTTTCTCATCCGTGTTGTCTTGCAGGTTACCCAAAGAAGGGAGCTAGGCTTGAGCTGAGCTTAGTTCATCAGCTTTTTAATCTGGGAAATAATAAAAACATAAAATGGATACCTGTTTTCCTCTGCTACAACCGAAGCACCACCAAGTGAAAGCGACGGGATAGCGAAACCAAACCAATGACCAGCGAGAGAAACAAAGAGGGTAGAAGAAGAAGAGCACGAACAGACAGGCAGGGAGATGGCATAAGAGGCCGAGTGAACAAGTGAGAGGCAGGAACCAATGCCCGTGAAGGAGGGAGGTCGAAAAGATGGCGGCTTGTGGTCGGGCTGCTGAGGGAAACACGAGAGGTCCAAACGGTCTCTCATGGGAATCCAAATGAGGTTGAGCTCCAAATAAAATAATCTTCCCAACACCTTCCCATCCACAGCGTCTGAGAAAAGTTTATACGCTCGTCTTCAGGTGAAGATCGTAGATTTTCAGCAGAATTTGAAGAAACCTGGTTTCACGACCTGGTTGCCGTTCTGCTTCCCCATGCTTAAAAGCTGGTTGACTATCAACCTGTGCAGTGCCCTGGACTGTTTTTAAAATTAGGTTTGACATGGGAGAAGCGTGCTACCTACTGTCTTCTACTGGACCCTCCAAACCTCAGCAGCCTCTAAAGAAAGCGGCAGTCGACGGACCCTCTCAGAGAGGAACGACAAACTCTGTTTCTGTGTCTGAGTCTGATATTGAAAGGCCTTTCATTTGCCTTGAGAACCACTGGCTCGTTCACAAGGTCTGCAGTGGGGTGGTTTCGACCACCCGTCAGTGGTGGAGGGGCATGGGGATTTCAGACTTTTTTTTTTTTTCCTTCGTTTTCAAGACATGAGACGCGAATCCCGACGATGTCGTGATCATCATGGGACAGTTTACCTTTCTTACCACAGAGCACAAAATTGCAAAAAAGTCATTGAAACTATCAAACGTGACCAGCATTGAATATTCAGCTCGGCGTCATTTGATGTTTCAGCAAAGGCTTTTTTCTTTTTTTTTTTCCCCCCTCTTATTTTAATCTTTCAGACGACGGCGTCTTTGACGTCCCGCTGTCTTTTTAAAACACCCTGTGTACGCTTACATTGGCAAATGCTTGAATGCTTTTGCTCTGAGTGATTTCCTCAGGGGATTGTGGACTGTCCACACTCATCACGTGAATCCCTGCTTAAGGTAAGAGAAACTAAACGGGGACATTTAGATGAGGCTAACAGGCAGTCGTGGCGATCAATCAACCGCAAGAAAGTAGAAGAAAAGGAAGGTGGCTGAGGCAGAGAAGGAAACATGTTAAAGTCAAAGTTTTGGGGGAAAGAGTGGACTTTTTCATACCAGATGCCACTGTGTTTTCCACCTTAATGAAGCCATATTAAAGGTCACGTTGACCACCCAAATACAACGAAAGCTAATCAGGTTGAAAAGAAGTGTTTGAAATTCAGAAATGAACTTGACCCGAAAGACTTTTGGTTCCTGTGGATTCAAATTGTTCTGTTATTAACCCCCAGTCACTCACAGCAGAAAATGCCACCCAGTACTGATCGGGCGGTGGCAGAGAGATGAAATAAACAGCGAATGAGACCAGAATCAGTGCCTATAACCGCTCACCCTCAGATAAACAGCCGCAGCACAAGCATGAATGTAGTTCCAGTCAAACGACCAGCATTTCCAACCTTTCTGACACCAGAGGGCTTAAGAAACCCACAGAAAAGGACTTGTTTTATTTATATATTTTTATTGTTTGAATAAAATGCGAGTGAGTCTAGCAGCTGGGCTGATTGAGGGGCAGGGGATACAAAAGCCACCTTCCTTCTCTGTGAGGTAAAAATGGAGGTTGTTAGATTTTATTTTCCCCTTCTGTGGCTGTTTGATTTGTGCTGAGCAGTTCCTCCTGAGTTGATCCACTTTGCTTTCGTCAGACATTTTGCTGCCGTGTGCATCGTTTCGTTGTGTAGTTTTACTGAAATATGGGATATATCTATTTTTTTCGTAGCAACTTGCTGAGTACAGGAATGAGCGGGACGCAGTTTCCTTTCTCGATATTTTTTTTTGTATCTTCTCTTCAAACTGTCCGAAGGATTGTAGTTTTGTAACTTCTTCCAGGAATGACACTTTCTGAACACAGCAAGAATGTACTGCACCGTTGTTTCTCACCTGCTTCTTATTTCTGCACACACGTGACAATCATGTTGCGCTTTACATTGTTATGTTTGAGTTAGAAATAGTTGACATTTTAGCATATCAACTTGTTCCGGTGAATCCTAATGTGTTAGAGCTTTAAAAAAAATTAAAAAAATGTTGCCGTAATATTTTTTTCCTCCCATCTTCTGAGCTCCAGTCAATTCCAACATGTGCAGCAATCACTGAAGATGTGATTCTGTTCCACACAGAGCGTTCATTCACCACGTCATTAGGCCGAGATTTAATTCATGAAATAAAGTCTCAATGTGATGTAAATACATATTTGAAACCGTCTTATTTGCAGTGACGTTTCATCACAAGATGCTGATTCTCTTGTTAAACTGAATCAATAAACGCTGTCAACTTCAGTTGTTTCTGTGGCTTGAATTTTATTTGCAGGTACAAATATTACAGGTTATTATACAGTGTGCAGTATATACATGAGGCGGTTTTCATGCAGTTGCCTGCGCCGCCTCTTTCTTTTTCATCGGTCTGCTCTTCATCAGTTTCTTTTTTAGCTGTTTCTGTTTCTGAATGCTCTCCTGGATTTTCTGTTTGAACTTCTTCTTCTGGCTCCTGATCTTCTCCAGCTCAGCTTTCCTTTTGGCCTCCAGCTCTGGATCCTGAAATGGCAGGAAATGACTTCTTAAATACCAGAATGCCAAACTCACCGTAGGGCAGGTACCAGGTATTTTAGGCACTCTTGGTCTTTTACACTTTATTTAAAACACGGTGAACAGAGAGGTGCCTGCTGCTATCATGTGTCCATTTTCATTACACCTGTGCAGCCAAAACATCACACTGCTACTAAAGGCTTGTTTCACACAGGCTAGTTATGCACACGGTCCTAATAACACGTACTGGTTATTCCATCAGTTCTCCGCTGCAGAAGGGCGCTGGACACTTATGATGGATTTTCTCTTGTAGAGAATCCATACTAAAAGTAGACATGGCCACAAAAAGCTACTGCCTGTGAGTGTGAGCAGCGTAACCTTTGACCCTCAGCGACCACAGCTGTGTTGTAGTCGCTGGCTTGACAAGATACAGAACCCCAATCAGAGATGACAGAGTGGTTATTAAATGTTCTCTGCTTCATGCTCTGTGTGGGCTCTCATTACTGTTACATTACGTTGTCATCACAACGGTGATGAAAGAACAAAAAAAATGTAACAGTTAAATGCAACACTGCTGCAAGGCAGACTCGTCAAATAAAAACATTTCAACTTGATTTAATTTACTTGAATCCTGCGCTTCATTTCTTTATGTCAGGTGAACATCAGAGCTCCGAAACTTTAAACTGGATGTATTTAGTCACAGGTTACTTTCCGACAGCCTCGCAGCAAAATATTGTGTGCTGTGACAAATGCCATCGTCAATTTTGCTCTAGCAGCTGCAATTACAGCACTATAAAAGACTTGCACACAGTTTGCACTGGTGGAACTTTATAGCTAGCTCTAATTTTAGATGCATATATTATTCCTTCATAATCTATATCACACAGTATCCTGTAAATAAATGAAAAATAATAATTAAAAAAAAAACCAGCTCATTTTAAACTAAAACTTGGCTAAAACATCGTGCACAGGTGATGTATTCAGCATAAGTTACCATGGCAATTTAGCCCGGTAAAAAGAGCTCACCGAGTCATTAATCTTGCTTTGCCGTTCACCCTTCGGGAGTAGGTGATGTCATCAGGAGACGGTCAAATACTGGATAACATTTAATTTGTCTCGTATTCATAGTTTTGGCGAGTCGATGTGTAACGCTGCTGTTCTGAATGTTTATGATCTTCAATCAACCTTAAATGTGAAGTAAAAGGCATCAAGCATGACTCATAAAAATTTCAGAGTTTATAAGAAGCTATTTTTTTACTATTTATATTTATATCAAACTATTTAAATTATTTTGTCCCTTCTGCCTAAGTAGCAGTCACCCCGAGATCTGGAAAATAACGCCTCACTGTTGTTCAGACGTTCAACTCGACTTAATGATGCTTCTAATCAAAAACAGAATAATGTTTAAATAGTTCACTAAGAGGCTGCACTCACCTTCCCCTCCAGGATCAGCTGTTTCCTCTTGTTGATCTCTTTTTTCTCATCAAAGTCTGTTGACTCGAGTTTCTGCAACATGGAGTTTACAGTGAAAACACTTAACTGGTGAGGCAGGTTCAAAACAGGCGTCCCTGACTAACGGGACGATTTTCAGACTGTCAGTCATTGTGTGAAACAACAGCGATGTTCCACTTTAACTGGATTCAGCACAGTGAAAAGCAAGAGGTGAGTATAAGTGATAAAACATCCGTACTATCTCACACTCCCGCCGGGTCACGTTGACCTGGGTGAGGATCTTCAGGACTTCCTTCTCCTCCACAGGATATTCCTTCAGCTTGGTTTCTTTAAGAAGACGAGAGGCCAGTGTTTAAACACACACACACACACACACACACTTTGTGATATTTACAAGATGTGATGAGCTGCAGATCTCAAAAAGCAAAAATCATTATCTAATCTCTTTTGCA